TTGATGGCTGTATCAACAGAACTGAACTGCAAATCACTGATTTCCTGTTCGTCTAGGTTACAACGAGCCTCTCAAAAGGACAGTCCCATAAATGTCATAAGCACACAGTCTTAGGAACGAAAGAACAGATTCTTCGAAGAGATGAGGGTTTAGGTAACAAGCGACTGGAGTAATCTGATAAAAGTATGATGACCGATGACGAATAGCAAACACTGAGCAAAACAGGGTATTAAAGAACTTTGTTTCTCAGTATGCTCGGGAGTTGGTGTCTTGAATTGTGACCAGATATCCTTCCCTTGCAACTCGCGAAATGCTCCCACACGACAAAGCGTCTCAAATTGCCTCTTCTGAGGAAGCCAACAACCAAATCTAGCCACTGAACTACCGGTAGCTCGCCTTATGGAGCTGGCTGGCTAAAACCTCGGATTCCGAACCAACCAACACCAGGCGTTCGAACCACAGAGACACAAACACACATCTGGCTGTGGTCACTGGCTCACCTAATCACCGGGGATGTTTGACCCCGTCCAAAGGGCGGATAATTCCCATTTTATGATACTGAATCCCACAAAGGTGTTGAAACAGTTCACTGGGAAAACGCTGATGCTCAGAACCACGTTTTGTATGAATAGTACAATCGTAAAACACTGATCGGTGTGGTGTGTGGAAACCGTCCAGCTAGTCAATGCTGCATTTTAATATACATACAACAAAAGGTGTCAACCCCGTCATGCTAGTTAGTGCTACAGCAACACTCACTGTCAATCGCGCGTAATGAACCTCGGAGAACGAGACACCAGAATTGGGAAATCCATCACCGTAAATCGCTCTTCTGCAACTTTGTCAACAAGAACATAAACGATTTTGGAAACGGCTCACTTCAAAGAACGTGGTAGTAGTGTTCGCCTGAGGCGAAGTGGAACAACGCGCTTACGGGCATTTCCAATTGATCATCCTGTACGCACCAGTTGCATAATTCCATGTTCGTCAATGCAATCTTGCCGTTAATGTATGCGTACAGTTCAATTATTAATTCAATCAACTGTCGAAGTGATCGTGAATCGGAATGTCTCTGAAAAACTTCGTGAACGCATTTTTTGCACACCATCGCTGAATTCCGACCAAAATTTGATCGCGGTGGAGAGGAGCATGACTTTAACTAGCTCTAGCAAAACCATAAATTGCCTTAAACAACAGATAAACTGCATGTGTATGGTATCAACGACCCGGAATAATGACTAATGAACAGCGTTTGACGCGCAGCAACGTGACACGGCACACTCATGATAGCAGATACCGTAACGCTGCAAAAACGTCAAAACGTGTCTATGCATGCGTCGTACGCAAGCATACATGTGCCCATAAACACATACACACACACACACACGGAACGGAGGAAAGTTCTAAAACTTCATTAATAGCGGTCATACATCAGTCTGGATAATTTGGTACGGAACAGAAATTCGAACGCTTTGAATTTCATTATACATGGCTATGAGATTATCCCATCCGGGTAGAATCGAGAGAAAAAAATGCATGCGCGCGAGCACACATCTCAGGATCGCATTGACAAAAAATGGCCCTGACTGAATCCACATCACATGGTGACGAAAGTGGTGTAGATAGCCGTGAATTATGACTTCGCTATTTCGATCGGACGTATACGGGAATGAGGAGGAGAAAGAAAAAATACCGGTTGAGAACGGACCGTGAACATACGCATCGGATAAATAAGAAACATTGGAGCCAATGCACACATATCAATAGCC